GGGTAGTGAATCCTCACGCAGACTCCCTGCTAAGCATAGAGCCCAACTCAGGGCTCGATCCCAGGACCCTGAGATCAACACCTGAGCCGAAACCAAGAGTCAGCTGCTTAACCAACTAAGCCACCCAGGCGCCCCAGGAACAATTTAAATGCCTTTGATATGGCACTAGCTAAATAAATTATGGTATACCCACAAGAGAGTACTATGCTGTCATTAAAAATGCTTTAGAAGAATATTTAATGACATAAGTAAATGTTCACCTACATTACATGAAAAAAAGCAGTGTGCTGCTAACACAGATGTATGTACAGGACTTACGGAGAAAGAAGACAGGATAAACACAACGATTTTGACATGGCTGTCTATGGACATTAGGTGTATATTTTGTCTTTCTTTATTTTCCACATTTTTACAATGAATCTGAGTAGTTTTTGTAATCAGGAGAAGTTACTTAAATATGCATATTAATGAATTTCAGCCCCCAAAGTAGAAATCTTACTTTAAAACTGGCTCAGGGGTGAGCATGGTACAATCAATCTCCAGGATCTGTTCCTCTTGGATAAAGTGCTGCCTCCAGGTCTGAATAATATTATTCTTCAAAGCACATCCAACTGGCCCAAAATCATACAGACCACTAACACCTATAAAATATGAACAAGGAAAATCCGTACTTTACCTTGTCACTCCGAGCAAATTAAAGCAAGGAGATGTACGAAACTGTACGACTTCACATATTCCCTAAAGAGGTATTAAAGTCAACAATTTAAACCCCTCAATACTGAAGGGGTTATTTCCAGCTAGCTAAGAGAAGTAAAATTAAAAAGCTCTTACTCCATTTACTACTTCTATATTAAGAATCCCAAGTAGGATTAGCAAAAAACTAAAAGCAAAAGATGTTCCTCCATATATGAGAAACAATGAAAAACAGATTACACTTTTCTGCCATAGATCTAACTTGTTGCATCAGCTGATAACAATGATGAATTTTAGCACCCAATTCTCTAATTTATTCTTGGATATACAAGCCACTATATTTAATCTTGAGTATATGAGCCACTATATTTAAACCTCAAGTTAAACATTTAGAGATCTGCTTAGCCAAACTCAAATCAAGTTTCAGGGACAAAGTACTAAAAGTCTAATACTGTTGGAATGATCTCCACCCACTATGAAAAATACCACTGTACATTTAATCAGTGAATTATATTTGCCTACATACCTTCACAAAGCATTCAGAAAGATGTAGAGATTTACCTACATACCTATGAAGAATGTTTTCTCCTGGCAGTTGCCATAAAGAATAACCTAGGGACCCTGGCTTCTCACTGCCCTTGTGTGAAGGTGCACGATACAGTTGGCCAGTGTTACAATGGCCCTCAACTGCTCCAAAGAAGAGTCTGATAGGTACATGGACATATTAAGTGCTTCATACCTGGGCCCCTAACAATTCCCTACATCCAAATGGGAAAAAAGCAGTCTTTGAGAATAAGTAGGATGGAAAGGAATAAACAGATTTTACACCAAATGGCCAATATTAAACAAACAAAAGCAAAATGTTCTCTGTTTTATGTGACCTGATACAGTTATCGATTGAAAAGCCATGTTTTTGATTTAAGAACAATAGTAAAGTGACCAACAACATAATTGCGCTATCATTAATCCCCTACCTCCATAAATAGCAAAAGCTTGATCATAGAAAAACCTCCTCTTCAGGGTATCTTCCATTTTTGCTCTGTCTACAATGTCATCTTTGGGTTGTAATGCTAACTCCTGTAATGGATTTTCAAATAGAAAACGTGTGATTAGGAGTGAGAGGAAATACGAATTTATATATGTGAGTTTGGTTTATTCCTCAGCAAAATTCAATACAAAATTTATCAGACAAGATTTTGATGCCTTTAAAAAACAGAAACCTTAGGGTTTTTTCCCCCCTTTCAGTTACAAAAAAGATCCCTTTAACTTAATTATTTAGGAAGATTAAGGTTACTTAGATGCAGATACTGATAAGCAATATCTGAATTTTTATTGGATCACTGTAGTGAGACAGTGACTTAGAACTCCAAACTATTTCAGTTTGGTGGTGGGACATTTACTGTTTGAAAGATTTGGGAGCAGGTATCAGATGGATACACCTTTTCCTTAAAAGAAAAAAAAGTTTAACACAAAACCATTATTTCCAGGGATAGAAGAATTTATAAAGAAGAGCAAGCACAAAAAAAAAAAAAGCACAATGCCTTCCAGGGATATTCGCGGAGTGTATTAAATCTAGGATTTAGGGGAGGGTTGGGTCAGAAGTCAGGGAGACTTCACAGACAAGGTGACATTTTGAGATGGAGCGTGAAAGCACGAGAAGTCTGCCAGGTAGCAGATAAGAAGGCATGCTGGATAAATAGAGATAAGGCAAATGATACTGTTCAGAAACTTTTCTAGGTCTTTCCCACCCAAAGACATTAAATAAAGATGACATTCCTCTTTTAGGATCCCAAGACTCACCTTTGCTTCCAGAACCCTCTTCCGGGCTTTGAGCTCAGCTACAGCTTTGTCTACATCTACTTGGGGTGCTTTATCTTCTTTCAGTTTTCGAACAAGATCTCCCTAGCCAACAAAGAGAGTTTATATTCAGGATTGGTTTCAGAAGTCAAGAAAAGTTATGAATGTGTTTTTAAGCATGGCTTTAAAAAGTATCTGTGTAAGAATGAGGCCATTCAAATGTTTATTATGTGAGATGTCATTATAAATAACTGAAGGTCTTTGCCCTCAGTATTTATAATCCAGCAAAATACACAAACAAGTATACAAATAACTATGTTCTAAGGGTGATTAGTACTACTGTGCTTTTTTTTCCTTTTGGGAGAGGAAACAGGTGGAAAAGGAGAGGAAGGCATTGATAAAAACTGTGACAAAACTTGGAAGCAATCAAGATGTCCTTCAGTAGGTGAATGGATAAACTGTGGTATATCTAGACAATGGAATATTATTCAGCACTGAAAAATAAATGAGCTATCAAACCATGAAAAGACATGGAGGAATCTTAAATGCATATTGCTAAGTTAAAGAAGCCAATCTGAAAAGGCTAATTCTAAGCTATATGATACTCTGTAAAAGGAAAAGCTATCATATTATGTAAAAGGCAAAGAGTAAAAGGATTAGTGGTTTGCAAGAGTTAGCAGTGAGGGAAACATGACTAGGCAGGCACAGAGGATTTTTAGGGCAAACTATTTTTAGTAACAAACTATTCTGTATGATACTATATTTGGTGGTTACACACCATTATATTTTTATCAAAACTCAGAGAATGTAAAACACCAAGAGTGGATCCTAATGTATGTAAACTATGGACTTGGAGTGAAATGACATATCAACGTAGGTTCATCAATTGTAACAAACTGTAACAATTTGTAACAAATTCTGGTGCAAGAAGCTGATAGTGTGGGAGGCAGTATATATGTGGGATCAGGGAGTATATGGGAAATCTCTGTGTTCAGTTTTGTTGTGAACCTAAATTTGCTCTAAAAAATAAAAGTCTGTATACATAAAAAAAGCAACATGAGGAATCTGGTGATTGAACTGTTGTTATTTTGATTATATCAATGTCAATATTGTGGTTGTGATACTGTACTAGTTTTATAAGATGTCACCACTGGGGGAAAGTGAGTTAGGGACACAAGTGATTTCTCTGTATTAGTTATTACTACAAGCCAGTCTACAATTATCTCAAAATAAAAAGTTTAATTTTAAAAAGTAAAAACAAAAACAAAAAACTGTGAAAGAACAAGGTTAGTACTGAGAACACAAAGAGCCAATAAATAAACCACCCTCCCCTTGAATCTCTCTCCTACTTACAAAAACGACCGTCCTGGTTTTCCACCTACTTTGACCATTTCTTCTTAGTCACAACTAACTCATATTCCTCTGCCCTCTTCTTTTTTTTTTTTTTAAAGATTTTATTTATTTATTTAATTGACAGGGAGAGAGAGAGAGACAGCATGAGAGGGAACATAAGCAGGGGGAGTGGGAGAGGCAGAAGCAGGCTTCCGGCTGAGCAGAGAGCCCGATGTGGGGCTCGATCCCAGGACCCTGGGATCATGACCTGAACCGAAGGCAGTCGCTTAACCAACTGAGCCACCCAGGCGCCCCCCTCTGCCCTCTTCTTAATTGTTACAATTTTTCCTTGATAATTTCTCTAGAATACCTTATTCACTTCCAACAACCTACCACCTGTACACTGATTCCCCCACTTACAGTAATGTGGTGGAGTAAGGAATCTGAAAAAGCAAACAAACAAAACATTACCTATTAGGTCTAAGAAACTTCAAGCTGAGAAATTAAAGTTGTCAAATTGATAGAGCCTTTGGGTTCCCAACAGAAGTAACTGCTCTCTAGAGGAGTAGACCTTCCGCATAGGCCTTTTAGGATTTTCACAGATCGAGGTCACCAAAATAATAAGCATTCAACTCAAAATTTAAAAACCCATTGAGGAAACAAGCCACCATAGGTGAGACTCCGTGGAAATGACAAATAACAGAATTAGAGCCTCCAAAGTATTAGAATGATCAAATATACTTTTTTAAATGCTTAAGACGTTAAAAAGGAAAGGAAAAGAAAAGAAGTCAAAAACATGAGCAAAGAACTAGAGACTATCAAAAACAATCAGGAAACCTGACAAATAACCACACAGGTTCCGGTCCAAGAAGATGACAGAGGAGTGGGGGAGGGGCAAAATGGGTGAAGGGGAGTGGGAGATAAAGGCTTCTAGTTATGGAATGAAGTCACAGGAATGAAAGAGACAGCAAAGGGAATATGGTCAGTGGTATTGTAACAGCACTATATGGTGACAAATGGGAGCTACACTTGTGGTGAGCACAGTGTAACATATAAACCTATCAAATCACTATGTTGTACACCTATGTAACATTGTGTCAGCTATGCTTCAATATATATAAATAAATAAATAAGGGGGAAAAGAACCACATAGATCATCTAGAAATGAATCACTGAAATTAAAAACCCACTGGACAGGTTAAACAGCAGATCAAAGTTGAAGAGAGAATTAGTGACTTACAGCACAGACCTGAAGAAATTATCCACGCATAATCCATGGAATGGAGCAGAGAGACAAAGATGTAAAAATATAAACAGGGTAATAAGACACAGAAAAAAGAGAGCCTGACATTCATCCAACCAGAATTCTCAAAGAAAATAAAGAAAATCCGTAAGATTTTGAAAAGATAACGACTACGAATTTTTCTGTAATTGCTCAAAGACATGAATTATCAGATTTAGGAAGCACCATGAAATCCAAACAACATACAAAACAAAAACCTACATCTAGAAAAGTCTATAAACTTATGAGAGAGATTAGAGACTGGGTTTTAATTCCCGATCAGCTAATTGTGAAACTTTGAACAAGCTGACACCTCTCTAAGCTTGTTTCCTCAACTGTACAATCAGGATAACAATACCTCACTGAATTGTTATAGAGTAAATAAGGAATGCCTGGGTGGCTCAGTCGTTAAGCACCTGCCTTCAGCTCAAGTCTTGACCCCAGGGTCCTGGGATCGAGCCCCGCATCGGGCTCCCTACTCGGCGGGGATCCTGCTTCTCCCTCTCCCACTCCCCCTGCTTGTGTTCCCTCTCTCGCTATGTCTCTGTCAAATAAATAAAATCTTTAAAAAAAAAAAAAAAGAGTAAATGAAACAATTTAAGCAGAATATTTTCAATAGTACCTAACAAACAGTAGACACACAAAAAATTATAGTTACCATGCTATAAAACACCCCAACTTGGTTGTGGCTGAGTTATTTTTCAAATACTTCAAACCCAACTTGTTTATACAGAATTATTTTTCTCTGCCCTAAACTTGTTCCTTCTCCTATGTATTGCTTTCTATTTGTTAACAACAAAAAAACTACCATTTCCCGAATAAGAAACATCAAGTTATCCTTCTTTACTGCCAAAATCTGGTCAATTTCAAATTTCAATCTACTGTCTCCCTTTCACACCCTGTAGACTCGATTGCTAAAACAGATTACCAATTTGGTTCTCATCCAAAGTGTCTACACTAAGATACGTTCACCCCAAACTATCCTAATGCATGTCATTTCTCTCCAACCTTCGTAAATCTTTTCACAAGCACATAGCATTCCTAATTTGGTGACTGTTCCTACCCCCATGCTTTCAATAACGTTTATCCTCAGGGCACCTGGGTGGCTCAGTCAGTTAAGCATCTGACTGTTGCTTTCGGCTCAGGTCATGATCTCAGGCTCATGAGATAGAGCCCCATGTGAGGCTGCCCGCAGAGCGTGAAGCCTGCTTAAGATTCTCTCTCCCCCTCTGCCTCCACCCCTCCCCAACTGCACATGAGTGCGTGCTCTTTCTCTCTAAAAAAAAATTAATACTACTACTAATAATAATGTTTATCCTCTTATCCAAAAGCACTTCCCTTCACTTAATGAAATTCACTTCGTGAATATCCCAACCTTACAATAGCTTCCCTTAAGGATGTTTCAACTAAAGGCTGAGTTTTCTCCCATATCCCTTGATCCTCAGAGGCTGGAAATGGAATAGATGTCCTCCTTATTCCCCAATGCACTTTCAAACTGATTCTTCTTTGCTACTTCTAAAACCCAAGTTCCTTTGAAGGACCTGTCATTACCCTTTCCCCTTGTTGCTGACATTTTCTTAAGCTCCCACTTACTTCCCCTCACTAACAGTTTTCCTTTATGCGATGCACTCTACTTTAGATTGTCCTGGTCAGGAGGTGACAAAGATGTTTATAATTATCTAACCTGGAACCTAACTCTGCTTACGTGTAATGAGAAGTATTCTCCCAGTTTTTACACTGAGTTTTCCAAGAATGCACCCAGGAAAATGTAATTTAAAGGAAGACTATATACTGTTTTTGTTCACAATTTTACAGAGAGTTGGTATTATTTGCAACAAACAAAAAATAAGATGGGACCAACAGCAATGTTGTCTGGTATCTGAGCAACCAACAGGATATACGTTTATCCATGTGTATCCATTGCAACTACACTCAGTGTAAATCTATGTATAGGTAGGAGCATCTACTTACTTCCATATAACTTCCAGTGGATTCATACCCAACAATTTACATATTGAAATGCACATTATTTTATCATAAATTACTTTATTTCTCTGTATTACATTTAAAACATTATGTGTACACATATTTTTCTTTAATTAGATCTTGTAGATATTTTGTATGAATTTCATTAGTGGATTCCAAAATATCTGGTGTAAAAGGGGACACTAGGTCTGAAAGTTCAGAGCCACTGAATTAGTTATTCCTCTTATTCTTTATCATATGCAAATAAGTCTGGTCTGTTATCACACTAGCAGTTTTTATTCTATTATCCTGACCTCTCTAGCTAAAGAAACATCTTCAGTCATCTTCTAACTTTATTTTGGCTTCTTCATTACACTTACAGTAACTGAAGTCACCCAATCAATGCAGTGGCTTATTTATTTACATGCATTTTATTTGTCCCTGTCAGAATAAAGTACGCTCTTTAAAAATGGGAATTCTGGCATGTCAATTCTGGCGCTCAAATACTTATTGACTGATACTACAA